ACAGGTCCAGCAGTTCAATCTTGCTCTCGCTGATGAAGGACTCAAAGCAGCCCCAGTCCTGGCTGGAGTTGGCCAGCAGGACCTCCTCGCCGCTACACTTGTCCAGAAGCAGGCCATCGTAAATACTCTTTGACGTGGCCTCGTCTGAGTCGCTGTCCTCCGCTGACTTCTCCTCGTCTGTCTTAATCTTCACCCTGACCTTGTGCTCTGGGTAGCTTAGAAGCTGATCGGAGATCAGCTGATCCCCATAGCGGATCCCGTCCCCGGTACTTATGCACTGCATCGTCATGTCAGGACATGGGTCGTAGTCCTGCCCCAGGCCCGGGTCCGGCTCCGTGGCGTCCTTGGTTTCGATAAAGCAGCCCAGGCACGTGCGTCTTTCCGGCATGAGGCAGGCCCCGCCCAACAGGGCAGATACCCCCTCTGTCTCCATTATGGTGAAGGCAACCTTGTCACTGCTGTTCTCTGGGACAGCCCAGTGACTCACCCGCTTGGTGGTGCAGGTGGCGAGGGAAACGGCTGTGGTGGAGTCATCGGTGTTGGTGGTGCCGGATGGACTCAGAGAGGTCCTCTCAGGGCCTTGTTTTGGTTCATTGGCTGTAGATGTGATGCTGGCAGCGTCTGGCTTTATATCACTGTCCTGGTTGTGTGAGTCTGTAGAGCAGAAATAAGAATTAGTAACACAGGTGTACATTTCTCTCTATATATATATTTAATTACAATATATTGTATATACAGTACAACTTGAATATATAATCTCCTGTCTTTGAGAACTCCTTTTCTTGAATGTCCCTAGTAAGATTAACAATGTGCAAATTATTTGCAGAGATAAAAGATCTAAATCAAGCAGGAAAAAATAACTACTCATCATTTCATAACCAGTGGGTTTCCTTTTCCTCAATAATTCCTGTGAGAGCGGATCGAGAATGAAAGACACTAATCATGAAGCCCCTGCGTCCGATTACCAAGACTGAACATCTTTCTGTTGGTGTTTGTAAAATGCAATGCACACAAGGAACGACAAAGGTAACAACTCTTTCCTTTCCTTTCTCCAAGTGGTCTTTAACCTTTGAAATTCAAGGTTGTTAAGCATAGGTGTTTGTTGGAATGGATAATGACAACTTTCAGAAGTTATGAACTGGAGAAAACATTCTTTATCCATTCAGAAGTAGCCCAGGTTAAGGTCGCTAAACATCGAGGCTTTTAGATCAGTGAAGGTCACCGACTAAACAACAGAGGAGGTAAAAAGAGGGTGTTCCATCTTGTCCCGGTTAAAGGCATTGATGCCGTCCTTGTATCCAGCATAATGACCTGATGTACTGTGAAAATATAGCAGCAATCACTCTGTTAGACACATGTCAAAAGGCTTTTATAACAATGTAACAGAAACATAGGTTAATACATTGTTTCCATCTAGCCAAGAAACATTTTTTTTTTTTACCATTCTCATCGACTATGTTGATCTGTTCCAGGTTTGGAACCAGCGCAGAAAAGTTGGGTTCTTCAAAAACATCCATCAATTCAATGTCGTTCTTGTTGTCACTTACATCATTGCCCTTTTCTAACCTGCACAGAGAAACACACATGGCAGACATAAGAACACCAGGACGGACCAAAGAAAAACTGTGTCATTCATCTGAAAGGCAAATAGTAAAAGCAAATGGCCAGATTAATGGAGAAGGAGTGAAAGCAATTAGAGGTTGCATACAATTAGCACTCAGTCCAATGATCCTATTCAATTGAACACCTTCTTAAGCCATGTTGTGTCACCTGCTGGAGGGCATTAACAACAACTATTTGTGAGCCACACGAGACAAACTTCTGCCAGCACAGTGCTGCCAGCTAGAACAAGGTAACGAGGATGAGGATCTTTCTGTTTACCTTGACAACAACGGTTGGTGGAGCGAACGATTGTTTTTCCCATTCCTGACTGTATTTATTAATACAACTCTATTTCTGTAAAGGTTTATCCAAGTAAATGTTTAGTTCGTTACTTCGGACAAACTAGGGAATCTCTGCCCTCCATTTTGTATTTTGTGTTCAGCACCACACAACCCAGTGGAAGTTAACGTCCTTTGGTTTTTATAGCAATTATCGATTTCCCCGCTCTTCAGTTTGTGTTAATTAGTAGAGTATTTTGTTTGTTTGTTGTTTTATATTCTGCATGTGAGCTGTAGCAATACAGATCGAACACAACAATTGGTCATTAAAGTTTAATCACAAGCGCTGAATTTCATTCCCTTGATGTTGTTCAGTTTGTTCTGGCAACTTATCTAACATAAAATCTGTCACAAAGGTGGAAAAGGTTGTGACGTGATTTAGCTTTCTCATTTTTTTCACATCACAAAAACCTGGGGTGTGAAGACTTTTTATATCCACTCTGGGTAGTTTTCCTGAGCTCAGAGTCAGCATATAAAACGTCAATAACTCACGCTGGGTAATATTTGGAATGAACAGACATATTGTGCCCTGATGTGATGATCGCAAGACATATTTTAAAAGAAAACAGTTCGATATGAACTTAAATAAATAACTCTGGCTGGCCATTAAGGCTGGCAGAAGAATCTACACATTGGTCCCATAGAAAATTGGCTGAATAAAATATGGGTGATCAGAGGGTTTTGTTACGTTTATGAGATCATCTGGAAGATCCACTCTGAACCATCTGTAGCGGAGGTCAGCAGTGCATTGTGGGAGTCTAGCTGTTACCATGGCTTGTTTTAGAATTCTATGATACTCTTTAGATAAGGTGAACATGTATTTAAGATCGCTGCCCTCTGATATTATAAGATTTATGATAGCAATGTTACATGGATTGAAAAATCACACTTTCATGATGTGGAGGTTAGAATTAAATAAGAAATCTCACCTCAGTGTCTGTCTGTCTGCAATTGTGTCATTATCCAGGGCAAGGGAGAATGTATTAATGTATCTCACTGTATTCTGAGCCAATAAGCACAGAAGTAGGTTAAAATGCATCTCTTCACTGAATCCAGTCTGTCAGTTTTGTTGTTACAGCGTCAGTGTACCGATGTTTCCTGGCATATTTCAGTCGTCAGCCAAAAAAACAAGTTTTAACCAAATATTTGAACGAACGTACAGCAGTATCACAGGATTCACTGAATATGGCGAGGTCGGGTTATAATTGTCACCCGAGTGTGGTTCCATAAAATCTATGCAATTTCTTAATTATGTATTTTAATTAAACACCTGTGATTAACCGTGTCAAAGGCAGCTGTTATTTGTAGATGTAAAAGCATGCTAGTGTCTCCATCATCAGCTGCCAACGTGAGTTTAATTCATATGAAAAAAGCACACACGTTTTTGGGGAACACATTCTTATGTGTAGCTCTTGTTACACAATATATGTTTTATAATAATAACATTTGTGCCAATGACATTTTGCAATAAGGTAGTTCATTGACTAGTGGTGCAAAAGGCAGGTTAGAAACTGTTGAGATTCATGGGTGTTTTTACAATTACATAGACAGAAATGGTGGTTGTCAAACACTTGGTGAAACTGCAGCTGGGTGGCTCAATATAAAGCAGAAACATGTCTTAAACAAGTGGTAAACTTATACCTTTAATTTTCAACTGGAACATTTCAGGAAAACCTTTACATCGCTCAATAGACAGGCTTAAGGAAGAGTTCAGGTTGATCTGAAAATAGAATTCTTCTCGCCGTTTGCAATGAGAGTACAGCTAGCGTGCACTTTCAGGTGACCTTTGCAATTAGATTACATAAAAAGGCCTGGCCATGTAGTTGGGTTTTCTTTCCTCAGTCTTCTCTTGAGTTTACGCCTTTCAGCTTTCATAGAATGTAGACACTATAGCTAAGCCATGGTGCACAGTGTTTGAAAGCGGTCTCCCCTGTTTTTAATGGCAAAATGTTGTCGAGAACTACACAGTACACATTTTATTGTTCAACATGGAGAGTAATTGCTTAGAAAAGCTCATCTTAGATAAGCTAGGCAAAGGTAAACTAGACTACGGTAAGCTAGACTAAGGTAAGATAAACTCAGGTAAACTAGGCAAAGGTAAGCTATGCTCTAAGGTACGGTTATTCTGGAAGCATATCAGTCTTTTGACTCAGGCCTGGCACTGAGAACAAGGCAGACATGAGAAGGGACTCTGTGGTGAGAAGACACAGTCTACTGAGGTCAGATCATTAATTCCAACTCCAAAAGAGCAGACTAGATAACAAATGTGCCCCTGATTATGTCAGGGAAAAGCAACATGTCGGCACTGATCAACAAAGTTCAGATAAAACGGAATCAGACGGTTTGATGTGGGATCAATGTGTATGTAAAACCACACACACACACACTTCCTGTCATTTCAGGCAAAATACAAACACTACGTTAAATACATGTTTGCATCAATGGCGGTGTTTACATTAGAGCCATTTTGCAATGCTCTACCAAAACCAAATTAACTATAACTGGCTTCAGTCAAACGAAACCTCCACACTCCAAAACGTTGACGTGTTCGTAGAGCCCTGAACATCAACTCTAGTTCCAACAGATTTTATTATTGTTCTTCGCCTTGAACGAGGGATTTATTTGTTACCCAGAACACCTGGTGGGTGCAACTAATTATCAGAATTTGAAAACAGCAAGCCATGGAGCTTTAGAGGTTGAGTTGATTAAAAAAGCTGTAGAGTATATTATCTTCAACAATCTATTGAATAATTTCCCAAATCAAGAGTTCACTCTTCGTTCAAAAGCTCGGGTCACTTAGAATTGGTCTTGTTTTACATGATAACATGAAACATGAAAGTATATTAGGAAATATAGCAAACGAATGGGAAATGCAGTCATTGAGTCAACAGTCAACAGAACTAGAAAACATATTCAATTGAAATAATAACAAACAATTGTGTCCCACAGACTTTTCTTTCTTGCCGTAAATACAGCTTTACTGACCTTTGGCATTCTAGTTGACAATTTGTAATATTTTTACCTTTATTTAAATCAACGATTGAGAACAATTTCAGCAGTTGGAGCAGTTGGGATTTGAACCCAGGACGTACGTCATAGACACAAAGCATGCACTCTACCACTGAGCTACCAACAACTCCAATTTGTTGAAGTAATCCAATCAGAGGTCTCCATGTGCTTCCTGAAGCACCTCCCATAATTGGACTGGCTGGATGGGCACTTCTCAGTGCGCATTTTCATGCTTAATTAATTATTGGTAAAGATAGATTCGCCGAAAATCCGAACTGTATTTGTGCATTTCTGGTACCCCAGGCACAAACACAAGGACATTTATACGTGACCCCAAAAAGGTTTGACTGTATTTCTTTTCTGGTGGAATCCCTGATGTTTGCATTCGGGTTCATGTTAACATAGTTTCTGATATGAGTAGCCAACAGATCTGAGTTTTCCAATTCTGACAGGCATCATATGTCATGACAAATGGTGAACAAATACACCAGAAATTGGGGATTTGAATTTTTGAAGACCGTAATAATGAAACTGTACAAACTAGTCAACGGGATTTACAAACCCATAGGGAGGTTTAGCTGTAGTTCAGATAAAGGTAGCCAATATCAATTCTGGAAGAAGATGCTCTAATCCGTACAACCCGAAACAGCACCTCATTGTGAATTGCCACAAGCTGCTTAGAAGAAAGGGCAACGGAGATTTTAATTGAACACCTGTTCGAGAGTTTTTCAAAGGCCATATGGGGAGAGAAGCCAACGAGTATTGTATTTAGGGAGCAGAGCACTGCCACAGTTCTCAGAGTTGGAAAACCAGCAGCTGAACCGAGGGAGGGACTGAAACGAGGAGAACCTGTTCGTTGAACGGGAATTCTTCAACTGCAAATGTCATAAAGTTGAGCGTCGCTGCACACTTGGCAACGTTTCGTGCATCATACCTACATTCACAAAATGCATTTTGCACCAACGAATTAACAACACACACGAACTCAAATTAGGAATCCCACAGGATGCTGTAAACATTTTGCCGTGAGACTGTGTGTGTCTGTGTGTTCGTATGCTGCAAAGCACTACACGTGTGTCCTGTCCACGTGGAAACTACAAGTTATTCCTAATTTTGTCACAGGAGGGCTGACAAAGCTTAACTTTCGAGGGCTAAGAGGCCAGTCAGGAAAGGTGCTCGCTGATTGGCTGACTGACTGATGCAACAATCATTTGTTTGCCTCCAGAGAAATAATAACCCAGCTGATGTCTTATTACACAGACAGTCGTCAGGGTAGCACAGAGTGGGGATATAAAAGGCATCCCAAGTGATTCCACCATGTAGGCATAAACACAGTGAAAGAAAACCAAGTAGAATAAAAAAACAACTCCAGAGGGCTGAAGTGGAGGGACCTAAACCACGCTACTGACCGATCAAGACTTCACCGGCTGAATACACTTGAGAATATTGCTTGCACAAAAGATCAGCTGCTTTCTAACCCTCCAGTGTGACCCCTTTGATCTCTTTTCGCTAAGTCGAAGCACAAGTGTCGTCTGTCCTTTCAACATTGGCCTCGCAACCTTCCGAGACGTCTATGTGTCACTGTGACAACATTACACATTAACAAATGATTTACATTGTTTATAATAATCATAGCACTTTCCTTCCCTCACGATTTGCGTGAATTACCATAGAGGAACCATTCCCAGAAAACACACAGGATTGTTCTAGGCTGTCTGCTTGCAAATCTATGCACAGTTTGACATCATATTAGCGTTGCAAAGCTATCTTTGCCCAGGGATAAAGCGAGAGAGAGAGAGAGAAAGAGAGAGAGCGAAAGACAAAAAGAGAAAGTGAGTGATCCAATTGCTGTTGTACTGCAGCATTTGCAGCATATTGCCTTTGTGATCCGACTCAGGGTAACGCAGTGCAGTTTGAAATGTCCTGAAAAATATGCAACAACACTTGTGATCAGGTATTCTCCCGGAGATATACCAAACCAGCCACTGTGGAGCCGCTTACGCATGCAGGCAAGCCGAAATACTAATTCACCGGCTACTTAGCCGTCTGGCTGCAATCATGCCGTCATTGACTAAGACAGATGCAGAGCTTCGGAGCATTCAAACGTTACAGAGATGAAGAGCTCATCGCCAAACACATATTAGAATTTTAGAGCACTCCAAAGAATACTGGTTAAAATACGCTGAAAGATGTTCATAAAGAGAAGTGTTTAAACGAAGGTTGCTAGGAAGTTTGTACATAGGCTAGCCTAGTAGATATGTTTTGTTGACAATTGGAGAACATTTAAATCTTGACAGACTGTATTTTGCTCTCTGTCTTTTCCTGGAAGTAAAGACTCGTTTCTCCCTATGACACCCCCGCCCACACAAAGCATGGTGCACCAGACTTTGTGAGCCTGCCAAATGCCTGCCCAGCAGAAACAAAGCAACACCAAAAAAAAGAGAAAAAGAAATGAGGTCTTAACAGTGCAGTCAAACGCATCCCCCTCAGCGACCGATTCACCAACTGACTTTTGGATGGGAAAAAAGCACAAGCATTTGCAAACAAAATTAAATGCATGGATTTCAGTGAATCCTATAGAACTGAGCCTCTGTTGAAATCAACATAAAAGCAAGACGATGTGTTGCTCTTGCGCACGGAGAAAACAGGTCTGTTTTAACGCACCCTTAATTATTAAAATGACAATTATCATTTTGAATGTTGACATAAATGACTCTTGTTCAAACATCTGAAGTTAAAGGCATCTCCGAAGACTCCAAATTATATTATAAATAATACTGTATAACGTAAATCTATTGTATAACGTAAAGTGTTCAGATGATCAATTATGTTCCAGCTTTATTGCCGAGGTGGAACCGAATAAAGAGTTCCTTCCTTCACTTCTTGCAGGCCTGTAGTTCCCTCCCCTTTATAAATTCAAAAGATGCTACATTGTGATTTGTCTAAAGCAAAGGAGACACGTTGTTCATTAGCACATGTAGTCGGTTGCCTCAGTACAGATCGACATTTGTGTTTACGTTCTGTCCATGATCAATGACCTCCTATTGAGAATTAAAAAAAGAATACCACAGCGACCACAGAATGGCACTGTTACGTGTTCCTTGAGACACCTCAAAAGAGGATCTCAAGATTATAACAACAAGACCTTGTACACAGAACGATTTTGTTTTCAGCCAATATGTTTTTCTCTATAAAATGCAACGAAGCGAAGACATAAGTAATGTAGAGAATTTAAATTGGGTGTAACGCCACGACTTTAAAAGCCTCAGCAGCTCTCTTTAGGTTCAACATGCAATTATAATGGCTGCAGTTTAAAGCATGACTCGTGACTTCTCTATAAATGGACTCACTGAGACAGACCAGGGCTCGTTGGATCTACTGTATATCATTTAAAAAAAATATTCAGAAAAATAACACATAAGCAAATAAAGGCAACCGAAAGAGGCCAAATCATTCTTTCCCCCGTAAGTAAATAGCATACGTTAAAGCAGCAATTCCAGAAAATGTGCGATTTTGTAGAGATGTTCTGCTCTGACGTATATTGTAGTCGAAGCCTCTTTAGGCCATTTGCGCTGCTGTGTTGAGAGGCAAAAACTCAAGCTAATTGAGATTCAGCCTCTCCTCTCTCTGCACCCATACAACCCCCTCCACTTACGCACACAGGCCACATCTCGAGTGGGGCGGGTAAGGAGGTGGGGGGTGGGGGGGTCGACATAAAGACTGGACCAGAGAGGCACAGGACGTCTGTGCCAATTGCATGGTACGGACCATATAGTAGACATGGCACCGAAGAATAACAACTGAGCCCGTTATCTGCCTTCTGGCGTGACCTGGTGAGGTGTTGCTCTGTGGAAAATGGGAGGAGATGCTCCGTACACAGTCAATAACAATAACAGAGCACAACAAGCGCCTCCAACGCACAAACAGCAAATCTACAACGCCCAACGTGGAATTGTGCCATTAGTTATCGCTCTGAGGGTCAGATGTCAGGCCTTGTTCTGAACTTCTGCCCACCTTTTATTCTCCGATAGATCCGGTCTGTGTGTTTCCTTATACGCTCACAAAACGGCTTATCACAACATACCAGTCAGTTTCAACTCTGAATCGCAGCATGCCGATTTATTCTTCTAGAATGTAAATATAATATATTTAGGCTTTCATTGAAGAAATGTAATTTCCTCCCTTACTTTTAGAGCGATCGTGGAAAATAACAGTCAAGCGGAAAATTAATTGCTTGTGATATACGTATATCTTTGTCTTCCATTAAAACAACTAATTTTAGTGTAACCAGGTTGAAATTGTATGCCCGTTACATTAGCATTATGCATATGATAAACTTGAGTACCCAGACCAACCAAGCAATGTGTACCAGAAGGCAAATAAACTCATATATACTCAATATACTCCCAGTAACATTCAAAAGTCCTCATCATCCCTGGGCTTTTCACCTGTTTTTTCTTCTTCTTCTTCTTCCGTTTAGTCACACATTTAATACAATTGCAATTCAGTAACAAAGAAAATAATTATTAGACCAAAGAGCATCCCTCTCCTGAACGTCATTCAGGATATGGTGTGATTTTTTTCAAATATTTCACAGTTCAGTAAATTAGGAGAAAGCTACCCAAGACGGTTGCTACTAATTAGCACCACCACTGCATGCAGAAATTGCACTCTTATTCTGGGATTCTGTCCTTTTGTCAGGTCTTGGCACAGAAGAATTGCCGTGCCCGTGAGTGAGATCCAACGCTCTCTCTCTCCCTCTCTCTTTCTCTCTCGTTTGGACACTTGTTTCGTTCTTTATTGCCCTCACCTGTTTCCCTAATCACAGTCCTTTTATACGTCATTATAAATCATTTCCTAGTGTGTCTTGTCGGTCTTTGTTTTGGCGTATGCCTCATGTTTTCGGCTGCTTCTGTCCTGTAGATGTTTAGTGTTTTTTTGTCATAGTTATATTTTTGTTATTAAGTGTACTGTGTTGGCCCTGCGTTTGTGTTCTGCCTTCCCATCTGTTACACCTTTTCCATTGGCGTATTGATTAATGATGTTGATTTGACCTCGCAATCAACAGAAAACTCAGAATACTGAAGAAAAAAGACTAAGAAATCATATTAGTCACCGGCTTGCTCTAGTG